CTTCTATAGATCATTTGAATTCTCTGGAAGCTAATTTTTGCACATGAAAACATGAGGTTGGGTTACATGATCTCTAGGCTCCTTTTAGCTCCAACAGCCTATAAGTCTATTAAATCATTTGCATCTAATGGAGAGTTCATCTGAAAACAATGATAACACACAGCTTGCTCTGGCAATAGGTTTTTCTTTCAAGAACTTTGATTTTTAAGCAAAAGCTACTACTATGTTTTCAGGACTCCTTCATACTCAAAATATGTCACAGACTTAGGAGCACTGAATCCTGGTCTAATATAAATACAGTTCACAGGGGAGATGAAATGCATTGTCCTTCAGAAGGCGGACAGAAATTGTGCCAGGGCAAATTCCTCCATATGCACTGAGCCTGAGGCTTTGACTTAGGAAGCCAACCAAATACTGGAGATGTCAATGGTATTTTAGAAACGAGACAACAGGGTCCACTAGCCTTAAGTTGGAGAGCTGTCATATTAGGATCTAGCCTCATTTACTGGGTCCTGACCCCATATTCCTCACTGCGGCCAGGTTCCTTTCTGATCTCTCCAAAGAGATCAGCAGGAAGCATGTAGGTCTGAGGTGGGATAGTCTCATTTACAAGACGTCCTTATTGTAAGCTGAGCTACCTGTTTGCGTGGCTACTGCCCCACTGCCTGTTTACTGCCTGAACTTCTGCTATGGTCTGGGGGACCCCTGACGGACTCATCATCTAACTTCAGGTCCCACACTGACCTCCGTAGCTTGGGCATCTCCTGGGGTTGGTCCTTGCTTCTGGTCCCAGTTTGCCCTTGGTTGACAGGCTCCAGGTTGCTGGCTTCCTGCTCTGTTTTCAGAATCCCTCACTTCCCATGGTACTTCACAGGATGAAAGGCATCACAATCCAGGGGAGGCTTACGACTGGCTGGAGGGAGCCTGCATTTTCTAATGGCCTTTATTAGCCGGCAGGCTACATTCTGCCAGCCAGCGCAGAGACAGCTGTTTTTCACTTCACTGACTTTGGAGAAACTGTGAAACTGTTTCTATTCCCTCCCAGTTCTTTCTGCCACCTTGGCTTCCCCAGGGCTGTCAGGAGCGTGAACCTCAAAGAAAGGGTACGTAGCAGTGGGAGGCCAGGCGGCAGCAGACCAATCAGAAATGCAAGTGTTCTTCCCAAGTGAACGTTAAAGATGGACAGCAAAATTTAAGAGGTGAAGGCACAAATACTGGAGGTCTCAAAAGGAGACGTGCTGCTTGTACCACATGAGCCATGTCTCTTCATCTGAGTGCGCCTATGAACAGGCACGCTTATGCACACCACCTTTTGCTCTCTATACATGAAGGCAGAATCAGACCTAGAATAACAGAGCTAGATGGCCCTCATGAATCACCTGGTTCAAACCTTCAATTTATCAAAGCAACTGAAGTTCAAGTCACCATAATTAGATTAGGATGGCAGCAATAGCATTTCCTATAAACCCCACCCTCCCAGTGAACATAGAATGTGCCATAAGGGTCCAGCCAGCTTCTGCACTTTTCTGTCAATAGCAGCAGGGCTGGGAAAAAGCTGAAACGCTTAGACTAGCGACTCCCAATGTAGTCCAATTCTGCAAGTAAATAGCAGAGAAGTGGTATGTCCCAGGGAATGGTCCCAGAGGTAATGCAGGTCTGACAGCAAACCCTTTCGACACCCTTCCCCTTTTTTAAAAAACAGAAGTTGGGCACACTTTGGTCTACCCGTGAGCAAATACGATTGGCTTCTCGTTCCTACTCCTTTCCATTTCTCCTGTAAGGTAGGTGTAGTAAGATAGAATGGGAACCTGGCATCAAAGGTAAGAAGAGGTAATCCAATCTTGCCGAGCTTGAGAAAGTTACGAGGCTAAGCAGATATGAGAAATAAAAGACACAGAAGTATGTATCAATCGATGTGCTCCTTCATTTGTAAATGCTCTATCTCATATAGCCAGCCAGCCGGTAGCTTTTAAGTCTTAGAAGTAATAATTAGAGCTATTTAATATCTCTTTACACTCAGGAAGAGCACATAACATAATACACAAGAACTAATAGTCTAAATGTCTCATGTCAACCCATGAGAAATTGTTGAAGAACAGCTGAAGAAACACTGATGTGAATAAGTGGATAAATAAGCAGAGAGGAACAGTAAGGCTAAGGAATATCTGGAAATTTTCCCATCAGTAAAACCTATTAGTCTCTAGAACAATGCCCCAGGGAACCCGTGAAAGGCCAATCTTATGAGTTATTTAAAAGTGGAGTGGACTTAGCCATTGGAATTATTCCATGGGGAAACCCCTTGCACTGTGCGAGATATGGGCAACACAGCCTAATGGCTTGCTGTCATGTGCAGTATTTTCCATGTTTAGCATGTCCAGCTTGTTGTCTGGATTTAACAGGAAATATAACAAGGGAATATAAGAAGTTGGCCCATGAGGAACTGCTAAAACAGGCAGTAGGGACCACGTATCTTGCTGGAGTCTCTTCAAACAATAGGGGCACAGCTGGGGTCACAAGATTAGACTAAATTCACAAGGAGCAAAAGGACAACCTGGTATTGGAGGGAAAGTAACTGCTCGTGAAACGCTGACATAAGCTCCTTCTGGCCACTGTGGCGTGATCTTAAAATGGGCCAGTGCCAAGTTGCCCCTTTCATCACAGGCTTCATCAACCCACTCCCCACATGTGACCTTCAGACTCTGTCCCCCGCTCGTTAGATCTTCCATGTTCTGTGCCCTCCCTTTATTGCTTCCGCTCTCCCTTTCCCTCACTGACTTATTTCTGTATTAGTGGATGATGGATGGATGCCCCTTCACAAACTTACCCACTCAGAAACCAAACACCACTTACGTATTTTGAAATTTTTTGTTTTTATGGCAAGGTACATCTTGGTCTAGCTGTGATTTACTATTGTGACTTCCCTGAGTTTCAATGCTCTCAACTGGAAAATGGTGAAAATAAAACCATCTCTATTTACATCTCAGGTTGTCATAAGAAAACAAGTAAAAGAATGGATGTGAAATGACCGTGCACTCCTAACTACTGCAGAAATGTCAGGCAGTGCAGCTTCTTGGTTCTTGTCCATTTCAATGTTGCCCATCTTAGGAAAAAAGGTTTGACGGCTTCTATCTTTTTAATACTAACTTGTATTATACACCTCCTAATAACTGAATACAAGAGCCATGAAAACAATAGATACTCCAAACATACTAGCTGAAAATAACAGACTGGAGATTGAGGGGGAAAAAAGAGGGTCTCTTTTGAAATCATTAATAATAATTTGATGCTTTTGGCTGACCTGTTTAGTAAATTTCCGCACAATAATGCAACTGAGGAAAGAAGGGCAAAAATAAGATTTACTGAATACTTTATATAAAGGTAATCCTTACAACATTACCCCAATTTACAGATGAGAAAACTCAAGCCCCAAGGTCACAGAGCTAGTAAAAGGACAGGGTACAAACTCAGGTCTGCCAGATTCAAACTCGCTATCGCGCCATGTGGCGTATTTGATTTTGTCATAACTTAACTTTGCTTTATCCTACTAATATATACCATTGATGTCACAGGACTATGTGTAGATAATTCAACACAACCCAGACAGGCAGGATGGGGTCAGCACTCCCAATGCCCCTGCGGCTGCCACTGTGGTAATGTTACAAATCACATGGTACAAACAGGCCCGTATGTTAGAGACCAGCATTGAAACATACACTTTGTCACAGTCACTCTTTTCCACTGGCCACCACCTCAATAAGGCACTATTATCAAGTTAGAAAAATCCATGAATCAACCTACAAGTCCCAAGTCCTTCAGTTTGTATTCATATTGAAGGCTGGGGTTTATTAAGAGCATATCAGAAGCTATTTTCAACACATAAAATGTACTAACTTAACATCAGCAATATTACCTCTACCAAAGACCTTTAAAGAAAAGGATTCCTGGCATGCTACTAAGAGTTATGCTACAAGCAAGAAACAGAAAAAAGTTGCCAGCCACTAGGCTTTTAAGGACAACATAGGCTTTTAATAAATATTGATTATATTTTTTTCCACCAATGTTACTGTTATTTTCCAGCTATCCAGACAATACTAACCCTCCCATCGAATATTTGCAGAGTATAAAAATTTTACACCAAGTGATATTATTATAACTACAGCAAATTAGGCTGCAGAAAGGCATGCTGTGTAACTCAAACACTAGATTTAGTTGGGTTAGAAGGTCAAATCTATGGAGTTTGTCAGCAGAAGGAATCAAGGTTTCCAACAATTTCCGCCTCTCAGAACAACCTATATCCAACTGTTAAATTGGTTAAATGATAGGCAATTATGTGACCTGCCAGAATGGATAATTTGCTTCAGGGTTTATCATTAGCTTTCTAAAGTACATAAATTAGAGAAAATGCACGTCCTGTGAACATCGTTATTATTCTGATATGAAGGGTCAAGAGAAGAATATGGCTATGGTCTATAAAAGCAGTGGAATTCTTTTTTAAATGCTATCTCTGGTTTCCCTTTCCCTGTCCAATTAAGTGGACTCTGTCAAACTAGTGGAAGGGTTGGACAGTGACTGAACGGTGGGGTTTCTTTTTTAACCTGGCCCTCTGCCTGACTACCTGCTGCTTATGGGCCCAAAGGTGCCAGCTCTTAATCTGTATCCTCTTCACTGGCTCTAAATATTGGCCTCAAAGTATGAGGAATGACCTTGAGAACATTATTATTAGAAGACAAAAGCTCAGGGCAAGTGGAGAAAAGTATAATCTTAGTAGAATCCTTTTTTCTGCAAGTAAATGAGTTGAACGCAAGGAAGATATGGGCTCTTTGACAATGATCGGACAGAAGTTATGCCCTAATCAACTCATTACAGTAATTCTTGATGATGATGACTAGGGCTTAGAAAGCCTTTTCACACACAGCGGCCCACTTAGTCCTTACCACTGCCCCAGGTCATCCAGTTTTCAATTTGCCCAGTGCCCCCACTGGCCTGGCTGGCACACCTACCTGTTTGGCATGATTGACACAGTGCATATACTGGGTGGCCAGAGAGGAGCATTTGAGGGTCTGGTGGGTGTTCTCACGGTAACACTGAAGAATTTTGGCCTGCAGATCAGCACAGACTGGATGAGACTCATACCGCCTGAAAACAAACACAGGGACCGCTGAGACCAATGGTCTTCATTCAGAATAACAATCAAGGTTAAAGAACACACAAAACGTACAGTAAGACACAGATGTTGCAAATGTAGAAAAAAGTTTAAGAGAAAGAATTTTCCTTAAACTTTAAAGATAGCTAAATTTTTCCCATGATAAAAATGACAAAGGGTAAATAAATTCTAAGAAATGAGTTCCATTAACTGACACTGCTGTGAGTTAGTCTGGACAATATAACCGTCCCTTCCAAACCAAAACCGTATCAACATGCCAGAAACTTGGAAGCCCTAAGTTCTCTCTTCCATTCCCATATCCACTTGGCCACAAAGCTGGGGATCCCCGCAGCCTGGTCCTCTTGCTCCACATCACTGTCGCTCCGTTGCTTCCAAGTGAGACGCATCCTGGACTCAAGAAATGACCTCCCAGCTGGTCTCTCAGCTTTGATACCCTCTTCACCTGCCCCTACACACCTTCCAGAGGGTTCTTTCCAATAGGAAATCGAAGACGGTCTCTTTCCCCAGCACTTTCTACACAAAATACAAGGCCAGCTGGCTAGTCCTTCCTGAGCAGGTTCCTGCCTACCCTGTTGCCTTCACCCCCACACCCTGCACACAGCTGAAGCCTGGACAAACCCAGTTCAGGGTTTGGTTCTTACACTTCTCTTCAGGTCTAAGCTCACGCTGCTCTTGCTTCTGGAAATGCTCTACACCCAAACTCCCACCTATGCCTATATATCTGGAGAAAACCTACTCATCCTTTGATACTTCACTCAAGTGTCAGCTTCATTAGCTCTCCACCCCCCAACCCCGGTACAGTCTATCATACCCTTTATGGTGACCCCATTGGTTCTGTATTCACTTTTCTTGCCATGCACGTGACAGTGACTACACCATACAACCTAATACAATTTAGCAACCTACATTTACTAGAATGCAAATTCCAAGGGCTGTGACTTATTTTGTCACCTCAGCTATTAGACATGGGAACCCCTACAGAAGTCATGTAATACATTTACTCAGTGAATACAAATGGGTACAAAGAAAACATTTTAAAGTCCCTTGGGTTAAAATTTTGCTACTTATACTTACAAATCTCAGATTTTAGTCAGATTGCTTCTGTGAATATCTGAGACCAAATGTAAATGTTTCCAAAAAGCTTATAATATACGCTTGAAAAATGATAATAAACCAAATGAGTTATACAAATGAAGGTAAAATATTCTTATTACCACGGCAGGGAAGTTTGGACTGTAAGGACTAAATACATACAGAGAAAAAAAAACACAGTACTACTACTTTTAATCTAGAAATTCATGTTTTTTCAAATTAGTTTTAATACAAGCTTCCAGTCTTATCACTTCTATTTTTGAAATTTAAATTTGTTATTTCCATAGTAATCTTGAAATCACATTATTTTAAACTTAATGGGTTCTAAAAAAAAACCCCTAGAGAACACAGGGGGAATATTTCTCATCAATAAAGAAACCCCTGGGCGACGATTTGTCTCCTCAGTCCTTTTATCCAGTATACTAAGCTAATATCTATTTTGCTAGAATAGAAACGCAAAGCATGTTGGCAGTTCCCTGACTTCCTACTACCCTCTAAAGAATACAGACATACAGAGGAAAAAAAAAAGTTTCAACAATTTTTCTATAACATCACTTTTACTTTTTCATTCATTACCTTACTGCTTTGTCAAATACCTAAGAACAGAATTTAAATAGAATCCCCGGAGTTTCCATGCTTTAAGATTTCAAACTTCAGATGTCTATGAATTTTTCTGGACACAGATTTCCCTAATCCTTTACCATGAACATCAGGATTTAAAAGGAATCAGTCGTGCTTCAAAGAGTATAGGCACAGATACCACTAAGTGACTAATTATAGCAAGACCTGCATCTAGATAAATATTGAATAAAATATGATTAAGCATCAGATCAGCTGAACCTAGCAAATACATGACTAATGACTAATAGCTCACAGGAAAGCGGGGTTACATTGTATCCTAGTGTTGACAACTGATCGTGTCTCCAATGTGTCTCAGATTTAAAAGCATGGGGGAGGAGGTGAGGAGGGAAGGCTAGAACAACCCTGACCAGATATGCAGTCCTTCCTCATTAACATACAGGAAAAGACTGTAAAAATGAGCAGCCACACTGCACATCATAAAGAAGACAGCGTATTTTTTCCTTTAAAAAGACTACTCACAATGGGGTAATTCACCTAATGTTATGGACTCCTCAGAAAGAGGTAGTTTAAGTTGTAGATAAGCATGTATCCTGAGTTGAGCTATTAGTCATGCAAGTTAAAGTCCATGAGTTATTTATGATTTGAAATGTGTCAAAATATACTTTTATCACCACAAATCAATACTACTCACTTCCAGGGCTCTTGATTTCCTGTCTGGTGGTCTGTTCTGTGTGTGTGTGTGTGTGTGTGTGTGTGTGTGTGTGTGTGTGTGTAGTCATCCTCTGATATTCTTTTTGTACACATTTCAATCTGTATTAATGATCCAATGGTAGAAAGAGGGGAAGAGGATGCATAATTGTCCTCCAGCTCCTGGAGTAACACTGGGACATTTTCTTGGATTAATCTGTAAGGGTAAAGGTTTGCCTCTGTATTGATCTGTAAAGCTTGTTATACTGCCCTAATGCACTGTTTTCACTTTGGGAAAATGCTAAATGAGATTGCTGTCTAACATTAGAAGGCCATAAAACACAAGCCATGGCACCTTCCATTCAGGATAAAGGTTTCAAAAACATTTCCAATATGCATTATGGTAAACCCTCCATATAATCATAGAGTCAGCAATTGACTTTTATTGACTGCTTTCATTCCTGCTGATGGAAAAAGCCCCTATTAGGCAAAAATAATGAAAGGCAGACTTTCAAGATACCTAGGAAGGAAAATTCAATCTTAGCAGCAAAGGATGATTAGACAAGTTAATTTCTTTGTACGTAAGGAAAAGGCAAATAAACGGTGAATGACAATGTTAAGGATAAAATACAGATATGGAAAACTTAAAACACTAATAAAGAAGTGGGAAGATCTGATAGTTACTCAAAAACATGTTTAGCAAGAAAAAAATCGGTGGAACAGAGTCAACCTTCGAAAACATACATTTAACAAAAACAAGAAAAAAAAATTCAGTTTTGTGGTCACTTGAAATTACTGGGAACCTTTCATGGATCCTACCATATGTACACACGTCTCTTTTCTTTTCTTTCTTGTACTCTTTTACTCTGCTCTTCCCTTCCACTCCCCTCATCTCCACAAGCACTAGCAGCCCGCCCTCCCTTTGGCCCTCCCTACCCCATAGAGTGGCACCAAAGGCCCAAGGGGTTGCTGACAGTACCAAAGGTAGAACTGGAGTCCCAAAGATTTGACCCCAGAACAAAATCAGAAGAAGCACTTTTGGTAGGTATTCTGTAGCCTGTCACCAGCAAAACATTTTTTGGCTAATGTTTAATGTTAATATTCACTTAAAAGGCATCTAAAAATATATATCCAAGTATTTTTTCTCATTATACTAACAGGTCTATTGTAGAAACTGTGGAAAAAGACAGAAAAGAATAAAGATACACATTTAGGCTGTTTCTAATTTTTCACTGCTTAAAAAACATGAAGGACATAAATTATTACTACCATTTCTGATTATTACCTTAGGAGACTTTCCTGTAAGTTAAATTAATTGATCAAAGAGAAACAAAAACAGTTTTAGCAAAAACAAAGCGGAGGGAGTATTCAGAAGTCCCCTCTTAAGACTCCGTAACACAGTTACACTTGGTTTTCTGTTTTAAAACTATCTGTTGGTTCCACTGCTGCCTCTACTTTCAAGTCTTAGAATCTTCTTTGATGTGGGTCTGAGGTTTACATTTCAAGAAAACTACTTACCCATCTTTTTAGTTCTGCTAATGTTAATGGTGAGGATAATAAGGTAACTTCAGAGAAGGAAAAAATATGGAGATAACACTCCTCACAGCACTCTGCACTCAATCAGTTAGCAGCCACAACTCCCAAGGCTCTAGAGGACACTGAAGTCACTCATTATGAGTGTAGGCATGCAAAGAAAGGATCCTTTCTCTGTACCTGAACCAGAAGTACGCTGAGAGAGTTCTACAGATACTATGATGAAAGACCAGAGAGAGGGAGAAGAGCAGGAACAAGAAGGAAAGAAGGAGGGAGAGAGAAAATGAATATGAGAATGGCTGGTGTTAAAAGGAGAATTCTAATTTTTTTTTTAACAGGTTGTGATAATGCATCCTTCACGGGATCAGGTGGTCTCATAAAACCATATTTTACACTAAAAGCAGACACACGACACAATCAGGGAATCAAATCTTTAGGTCTAGTTCCTATATCACAATGCAAAACTCTAATTTTTTTCTCTACCAACTTTTTATTAGCTGTTAAACCCAGTGATTAGGATTTCTGCTTTTCTTTTAAAATGCAAAACTAAAGCTACTAGGCACATTGCCAATATTTAAAAATATGTAATCCTTTACTTTTGTTTCTCTTATCACTTATAATTAATCTATTGTAAAATGCAATATAAAGAAAATAACTGAAATGTACTATATTAACTTTTTGATTTTACCTTAAATCTAAATATCCTAATATTTGTTTTCAGAGTAAAATGTAAATAGCCTCTAACAATGCAAGATCTGAAAAATTCAATTTTAAGCTTTTCTGACATTCTTAATAACTGCTAACCCTTTTATTAATGATATTTCCATTTGAGCTATAATCAAATTTCCACAATTACACTTTAGAGGGCCCTCTCTAAAGTGGTCCAAATAGCTCCAAAAGCTGCCTGCTTTGTTTCCATTTGTTTTCATATACAATTTGAGATACAATTTCTTTTGATTACCAACATGATGAATGTTAACTAATACGTTTTCTACCAACACAACACAAAATGCCAAGTGGCCTCCACTGTTACCAGAGAAAGGAATGCTGACCTGGACATCACCTAGTTCAGCACTTA